ACATTGCATCTTTTTTTTTTTTTTTTTTTTTTTTTTGTACTGGGGATCAAACTTGGCACCTTGCTCTTGCAACTAATCTTGTCTTCTGTATCTGATATTTTGTCCTTACATTGGCTCCTTCTGCTGTATATATTTGCAATGGCATTTTTAATCTCCTGGATGTCTGCTTGAATCTGTTTCATGGATTCCATTTCTTTCCTATGCTGGGCATTCATGGTTTCCATCATTTTCCTAAGCTCCTCTATTATTTTTTATTTATTTGTATTTGCTCTGGAGTCACTAAGCATGTCTTTGATTATGGTCACCATCTTTGTAGTTATCTGAGACATTATTTATGATTTGATTTTTTCTAGAGCCTTCTTCATGTGCTTTGTTACTTCTGCTCTTACCACTTCTGAGAGTCCAAGTGGGTGGCTTTTGGATTGTTCCACCTCACTGCCCCCTGGATTTGCCTTTTTTGGGGGGTACCAGGGATCAAACTCAGGACCTTGCACTTGCCAGGCAGGCGGCAGAACCACTGAGCTAAATCCCTGGCCTTTGGATTTGCCTTTGGTGAGCTGAAAGTCTAGGGTTACATGTTGATGAAGTGTCTTCTCATTTTCTTTCTTTTTTTTTTTAGTTTAACTCCTAGGTTGATGCTTGTAAATTGCTTATGGTGAGTACCTTTATTGCTAATATTCAGAGCCCTTAGAAAATTACTACTTCTCAGAGATATCTTCCAGGTATAGCTGGCTTTTGGATTTTGAGTCTGTTGCAAGATCCTATCTCTTCAATTTATTGGTGATGAGAAGTTGCTGCCTACTTGGCCCAGCCCCTGGTTCTTTGGTACTGGCCTGTAGTGGGGGGTTTTTTCCCTTTGGTACCAGGGATTGAACTCGGGTCCTTGTGCTTGCACAGTAGGCTGCAAAACTACTGAGCTAAATCTCCGACCCAAGGCCTGTAGTATTTTTTAAGACCCTTAGGCAATCTCAGTCTTGGTATACCAGGAAGAACAACTGATTAGCACAATTATGTCACTTTGGCTAAAGCAGTACAATCACCAATAACAACAGCATGAAACTCAGCCTAGAAAATGACAAACTGTGGTAACTATTAATTTGCCACTTTTTTT